GGCTCCTGTCAACCATCTCTGTCCCCTAAGTTCCCCCTGTGTCCCTGAGCTCCACGCAGGGGTTCCCCGCTCCTGGGAGGCGATGGGGAGGGATACAGGGAAACCCCAGAACAGGTAAGTCCGTGAGGGACATTCTAATGTTCAGAAATGGAAGAAAAACTTCTGGAGAGTGGTAGGGAGGGTCTGGAAGATTGGGCACAGGGATCTCAAGAAAGGTGTCTCAGAGGTGGTGCCGGACCTGCAGGCTGAGGTGAGAAAAAGGACGCGCGGAGAAGACTCGGGACCCTATCCCAGGTCCGAGGGAAAACGTGCTCAGGGGACTGAGAGGTCCCCGCGGCTGGATCTCTGGACATGGGGCTTGGACCCGGAGGGCCATGGTGAGGGATTTTATTTCTGTGGTTGCAATAGGAAACCGGTGCAGGATCAAACCCGGGGCCTCCTGAGTACTAGGTAGGCAAGTGCTGTCCCGCTGAGCTACACTCCCAGCCCTTTTGAAATTTTAAATCAGAGCCAGGACCCGAGTTCAATCCCGGGTACCAAATAAATAAATTAATTAATAACATAATAAAATAAAATTTTAAGTCCGCGTCTCAGTTGCTCAGGCTGGCCTCGAGTCGCTGTCCTCCTGCTTCAGCCTCCTACGTAGCTGGGATTACAGGTGAGAGCTGTCACCCCAGGCACCAGTGGGGGTTTGAAGCAATGGGGTTTTGATGTGCCTTTAACAGATGGGTGAAGGTAGAATGCAGTGATCCGGATCAGTGTGTGCAGGAAACTGTTGCCCTCAACAGCTGAATGGATGTTGGTGGCATTTCGGTGATGAAGAACATTTGAGGATGTTTATTGCACACCTAAATTGACACATGGAGAAGGCATTTGGAAGGCAAACTTAGACAGATGCTTAAAGGCTGAAGATAATGAATGTGGAAGCTATTAAAAACCCTGGGACTAGGGGCGGGGGATTCAGCTCAGTGATTCTGCTGTCTGCCTCCGAAGAACAAGGACCCAAGTTTGATCCCTGGTACCAAAAAATTTTTTTAAAAATTAAAAAATTAATAAAACCATGGGACCAGCAAAGCATAGTAGTGTGCCTCTGTAATCCCAGACCCCTGGGAGGCTGAGGCAGGAGGGTTGAAAGTTCAAGTCCAGTCTGGGCAATTTAGTAATTTAGCAAGCAATACCCTGTCCCCCCAAATTAAAAATGATCCAGAGAAGTAGCTCAGTGCATAGGCCCTGGGTTCAGTTGTCAGGACTGTGAGAGACAGAGAGAGAGATCAGGGAAGACCATGTGAAGTGGAAGACTACCAAGCCAAGGACAGAGGCTCAGGAGAAACCAACCCTGAGGACCTCATGATCTTGGACATTCAGCCTCCAGGACAGTGATAGAACTAACTTTGTGTTTTGTTTGTTTGAGACAGGGTCTCACTATATAGTTCAGACTGCCCTGGAACTCACTGTGTAACCCAGGCTGGTCTCGAACTCATGGTGATCCTCCTGCCTCAGCCTCCTGGAGTGCTGGGATTTACAGGTGGGTGCCACCACGCCCGGCTCTAACTCTTGTTTAGATCACCCAGCAATGCCATTACTAACACGTATATATTGCCAATTTTAAAAAATCATATTTAGGTATCCTTTTTATTAAAAGAATTAAATTATAAGCAATTTAAGGAATGAAAACAAGCTTATTCTGAGAGAAACACATATATCAAAGCCCTCCAACATTAACTCATACTGTATTTGAGGATAGTATTTATTTGCAATTTCTTCCTTAGGAGGTTTCCTTTGACATATTTGCTAATTTTGAATACAGATTTTGGTAGCTAATCAGCAACTATATGAGAGGTTTGGAGGTGAACAAAAATCATGCAACAGAGGGACAGCGAGTGAGCGCCTTTGCAGGCCCTGTGGTACATACATGTGTGTGCACTCACAGGCATGCTTCTCACGCCCACCACGGATGTGACTGTGCCGGGCATGGTGACAAAGCAGGAGCTTGGAGCCAGCTGCTGCCACCAGGGTGAAAGGGCACCTTGGCGCAGCGACTACACAGGGTTGAGCCCTCCTCCCTCCCAGCCGTTGTGTCCCCCACGGCAGAACCTTTAGAAATCAGCCAGCGACACGAGCAAGGCCAGGAGCCCTGGCATCACAGAGCCCAGAGCGGAAGGGCTGATTCAGAGCTGATGGCACCATCCTGTACCCCACCTGGTGACCTCAGCAAGCTACGCCAGGTACAGGGAGATGGTGTGCAGTGTGATCCGGCCACTGCCAGGCACGGATGAGTTCTGGCTGGCAATTCTTCGAAGAGCAGGAGTAGCTGAAGTAAATGTAGATGCTTTTCTGAGTCGCTAATGTTTATTCTTTGAACAAAGGCCATAAAACAGAGGTGATTTATTTTGCTAAAGATTCTTATCAAGGATTGACAAAATGTATACTTGCAGAAAGATTTTTATGGACTGGATGTAGGTTCATGGTAATAGGGCCTTCCCTAATGTTCCCCAGGCCCTGGGGTCTATCACCAGCACCAGAAAACAACAAAAAACTTTGTTGGATTTGTTACCAGATAACATACATAATTACAGTACACATATAAAATTGTACATAAATATCTTCGTTTCTTCAGGAAAGAAACTCTAAGCATGGACTTGGGCGAGGCAGGTATTAGGAAGAATTTCTGACCCAAAAGAAAAGGTATTAATCCCCGATGAGAGATCTGTTATAAATTTATGAGGGTAGCAGCTATCTTCATGAGATTTCATTACAGAGTTGATATACCACACACACATTTTTTGTTTGTTTTATGAGACATGGTTTCATTATATAGTTCAGGACAGCCTTGAACTCACTGTGTAGTACCTGCTGGCCTCAAATTCATAGTGCTCCTCCTGCCTCAGCCTCCCAAGCAATGGGATTACAGGCATCTGCCACACCAGCTTCTTTCTTTTCCCTTTCTTTATTTCCTTTTCTTTCTCTATTTCTTTCTTTTTTTCTGTCTTTGTCTCTCTCTCTATTCTCTTTTTTCTTTCCTTCTCTCTCGCTTTCTTTCTTTCTGAAATATTTTATACCATGGTGCTCTTCACCTAGTCTTTCAGCATTTTCCAGCCGAGGGCAGGGACTACCAAGTGATTTCTGTGAAGACAAGGTAGTAGGTACTTTAGAGTCTTGGGGTTGTACAGTCTGTCGTAACCTTTCAACTCTGCCTTTGTCCTGGAGGACAGAGAGTGTAAGCCAATGAATGGGCGTGGCTATATTCAGTGCCACCTCCCCGAAATGGGCAGCAGCAGGTTATAGTTGGACTGTCAGCAAAAGCCCCCGACCCCTGGCC